TTGTTCATTTGAAGTTCTTTTTATTGTTTATGAGAAACACCGAGAGAAAAAAGGGTACTGCCTAGTGCATTTGAAGTTCATTTTGTAGTAAGAATGGATGGTAATTTTGCATAAGCAAGTCTTTGCTTAGTGCAGTTCAGTTGGGTACTGCGTTGTTGATTCTGCTATGTACTGGATGGCTGTGTAGCTATGTAAAAATAATGGATGGATATGTATGTTTGAAGCTCATTTTGTTCTCTCACGAAGTTCGCTATAGAACTCCTTCGTTGTTCACTTGGTGGTCCGAAACAAAAACACCTCGGAAAGCAGCTCACTTCTCATTACATGTGGTTCACTTGCTCAGTCCCTGCGGTCCACAAAAAATATTGAGTTTGGGAAAAGCTCAAGCGGTTCTCTTAGGTAGTGTCTCGGCCCGTTTACGGTAGTCTCGAGGTTCACTTCTCATAATATTGTGGTTCATCAACACTCGACATGAAGCGCACTCCACCTCGTTTGGGAAAGTTTATGTCCCACAAAAAAGAAATCATGCAGTGCACTTGTCTGCCCGATGAAGTGTAGTTTTTGGTCTAAAGAAGTGCGGTTTTTTTGTCTGATGCAGTACATACGACGATTTTGGTGTCGCGAAAAAACAGTGTCCGCATTTTGTTAAAATCAAAATTACTCCTAAATCGTAAGGAATTGGAGAGAGTATTCTACATAAAAAAGTTGCGCCTCATCAATATCTTTCCAACGCCGTATCATTTGCATCGTTCCGCCAAACGGTTTGAATTTTTTTATGAAAATACGCTCGTTACCACACGTAGGCAGCCACACCGTTTTGAAATTTCATTTAAAACCATGAGGAATCTCAATAAATGACCAACATATAAAAGTTGCGCCTATTCCACATCTTTCCAACGGTGTATCACACGTCTCATTCCGTCAAACGGTTAAAAAACTGCAGCGAAAACAGTACCCAAAAAATCAAATTTTTTGCAAAACAGGATTCGGTTTTTAGTAAATTTGAAACTGCTCTTAAACCATGAGAAATTAGAGAGTGTAATCTAAATTAAAAAGTTGCGGCTCGACGATATATTTCCAACGCCATATCATTTGCTTCATTCCGATGCACGGTTTAGAAAAAATCACAAAAATACGCTCGCTGCATCCTGTCATGCGCGCACTGTTTTTGAAACTGCTCTTAAACCGCGACGAATCTCGAAAAGTGTTCAACATGACGAGGCTGCGCATATTCCGTAGCTATCCAATGATACATTATACGCCTTGTTTCAACAAACGGTTTAAAAAACTAGAGCGAAAGCAGTGCCAAAAAATGCACTGGTGACATTACAGTGCTCGTTTGATAGGGATGCAGTGACAAACGGAAACGGCACGCATACAACTTGGTGACGATGCAACTAACACCGGCCAATCAAATCTATCTATGTCCACGGCTGCACGGTGGATAGGCGCCATGCACGCATCAAATTGGTCCCTCCGCGAGCCGGCCAACAGAGCACAACTGCAGGGGCGCCTCGCATCGGCAAGCACGGCAGCCGCTCTCCTCGCTACTCTCAGCATCCTCGACGGGCGGTGCAAGAAAGGACGGGACAGGAGGCAACCCCTCCTACTCTAGATCAGATCAAGCGGGGTCGGGGCGGTAGATTTGGCGGGGCGGGTGTGCAAGGAAGAAAAAACAGGAAACTGAACAGTGTTTACGGGAGCGATTAATTAAGGGAATCGGGAGAGGTCGCACGAAGGGAAGACCGGGGGAGGGTTCGACCAAACAATTGAGGTAAGAGGGGAGAAGGAATCTTATGTTCTTTTAGCTAGAGAAAGAGATAGAGATAGAGAAGAAATAGAGATTATTGTACTTGTCGGCTACAAAATTAGCTATCTTTTTTGCGATTTTTCACTGTATTACACAACAAGTGGTGCATAGGAACTCCCGGTTATAGAATACTCCCTTCGTTTGGATTTATTAGGCCAAAAGACCAAATCGACAGGATCAAGGAAAACAATTATTAGCTGTGGTTAAACCCCGTAATCTCAGGCTTTAGTTAATGCCCGTCGCTTGGCCGCCATATTTGTGTGCATGCATTGGCTGGTGTGGCTGCTGCCCCACCATCTCATGCGCGGAGATTAAAATTGGTCCCCTTTAGTAAGAGCCAAATGTAGCACACGCTTCTAGGCACTATGTGAGGGTGGGAGGTGGGCCATGTATTAATGAAGTAGCACATCTTTACATCTTACTATTGTACTAGCCGGCTACAAGATTGGCTATAGATGGCATGTCAATATTATATAGCCATCAACGTACTATTAGCCATGCTCTTAGAGCAAATCCAACACGCCGACCCATTTTGTCCGCGCGCGTCTGTTCGGGTCAGCGGGGACAGAAAAGTCGGCCCAACGCGCCGACCCAAACGGATGCGCGTACGCTTTTCGTCCGCCTGTCGACCCATTTCCGGTCCACTTTTGAGCCGGATTTGCGTTGACGCGGACAGGAGACGGATGCGCGCGCGCCTACTCCACCCCCTGGCTTGTTGGTCGGTGGCACATTGGCCATCCTCTCCCAACAACAAACCCTCGCCCGCCTCCTTCATCGCCGATGCCACTGCCCATTTTTCTGGTGCCTCTACCAGCTGCCGGTGCCGCAACATCTACCCCCGCAATGCTGCCACCTCTCACGTCGCCGCCAGCGCCGTCTTGCTGCCGAGGATCCGAAAGCTTCCCACCCCCACTCCCCGACACAACCGCGGACAAGAAGTCGCCTCGCCGCCTCGGCCAGCTCCTTCGTCCTGACACCGGCACACTCGTCGGACACAGCTGGGGCAGGTAGCTTGTCCGAGGGCGGCACGACTCCCTTCGCCGTCTGGCTCCTTCGTCGACGCCCGCAAACTGTTCGATAGTTTGCCAAGGTACAAAACCGCCGGTGAGTTCTTTTTTCACAATTTCCTTTGCGACTCCGACGATTCCTCGTCCGATGACGAGGAGGAGATCTTGGCTACCGTGTTGGTCCATCACCACCTCAATAGCCAGTGTCCGTTATTCCGTGGCTCCGTTTCGGGGCACCTTCCGGCGTTGAATCGCAACCGAGAGAGAGTAGAGATTTCCTTCTTTGGAAGAACTACTTTGACACAAAGAACCCGTTGTTCAAACATCAGAAATTTCGCCGTTGTTTCCGTATAAGTAGGCATCTTTTCAACCGTATTAGAGAGGGGGTGGTCGGCTACGATGACTATTTCAAGTGCAAAGAGGATGCCCTCGGAAAGATTGGCTTCTCCTCTTATCAGAAATGCACTGCAGCCATCCGAATGCTTGCATATGGAGTGCCCGGTGATCTCATTGACGAGTACGTCCATATGAGCGAGTCTGCATGCCTAGACTCCCTATACAAGTCTTTGTAGGGTTGTTATTGCTGTTTTTGGCCCTAAGTACTTAAAAGAGCCGACTCCTCAAGATACACCCCGCTTGTTGAGGATGAATGCCAGCAGGGGCTTCCCAGGGATGCTTGGCAGCATAGGTTGCATGCATTGGGAGTGGAAGAATTGCCCTTCTGCTTCGCAAGGGCATTATAAGGGCCATGTCAGGGCTTGCACTGTCATACACTCATACTTGACGCTGTGGCATCTCAAGATCTATGGATTTGGCACACTTTCTTTTGCATGGCTGGATCACACAATAATATCAACGTGCTTCAGCTCGCCGGTGTTTGCTTGGCTTGTCGAAGGCAACATCCCACCAGTTAATTTTACCATCAATGGCCACAAGTACGACAAAGTATACTACCTGGGTGACGTTATATACCCTCAGTGGACCACTATTGTGAAGACAGTCCCCAACCTTGTCGGAGAGAAGAGGAAAAGATTTTGCCCAAGAGCAAGAGAGTGCTAGGAAGGACGTCAAGCGTGCCTTTGGTGTTTTGCAATCTCGACGGGGCATCGTTCAGTATCCTGCTAAGACTTGGAGCACGAAAAAACTGTGGGAAGTAATGACTGCTTGTGTGATCATGCACAATATGATCATAGAAAATGAGCGCCCATAACATTTCTACAATCAAGGGTTTCAGTTTCAGGGTGAGAATGTTGTGCCTGAGCATGGAGGAGCGGCAACGTTTGGATAGTTCATTCAATTTCATCATGACATGCATGATTGGAAAACTCACATGCAACTGCAAAATGATTTTGTTGAGTATATGTAGGCTCATGTTGGCAACCGATAGATGTATCTTTTTTATTCAACTTGAAAAACTATGTGAGACTATTTTACTTTTATTCAACTTGTAAAACTATACTATTTATTTGGTTGTGGACTATATGTTTGCTTGTGAAATAATGCAAAATTTGTGTGTAAAATAATGCGAAATTTGTGCTATTTGTTGAAAAAGGCAGGCCAGCCGGCCACACCGGCATATATGAGTCGGCTCATTGGACGCACTGCCGATCCAAATATCAAACAGGGCGGACGCCGAGCGGGCGGCCGACCCAAACGAAAAATAGCGGATTAAAACGCCGTCCGTTTGGTGACTTATACGGAGGCCCAGTCCGTGGATGGGATGCGATGTTCGGCCAACCGGATCGCGTGGTTTTTCTTTGGATCCTCCGCCGGCCGTTGACGCCGGTGAGCGCTGAAGCGTCCAAGTCCAACCCAGTCCAGTCTAGTCCTGCCCCTACCTCAACTGCTCCC